CACATACATCCTGTCGTGCATATTTCTCAGTTAAAACGTCGGATTGGAGATGGGAAAGTGGTACCAAATAGATTACCGGCTGTTAATGAGGTAGGTCAATTAATTATTCGTCCACGAAAAGCAGTGGAATATCGTCGAGTTAAACGAGCTGGCAGGTTTCGTTGGGAAGTGCTATTAGAATGGGAAGATTTACCGAGTGAAGAAGCTACGTGGGAAAATCTTGATGATATGCGTTTACAGTTTCCCAATTTCGCCCTTGAGGACAAGGTCGCTCTCGAAGGGGATGGGAATGATGAGAACGAGGCCCGTTTACTTTAGAATGCGTACAATAAAGCTCGACGGAACAAGAGCAAAGGAGCCGTACATAATGGACTGAAGACTATGGTTGCTGAACCAAGTGTGCATGAGTGAAAATGATAATTAGACTATTGTTAGGACTATTTCTGTTTATTTCCTTTTATTTGGGTTATTTTGCAAATTGTTATTTTTGTTTTTCATTTTAGGATGACTGTGTATTTATTACGGTTGCAAGACTATTGTGGGATATGAATGAAATATGATTAACTGCTAATTTTTAGCAAATCTTTGTGGAACCCGACGGCCAAATAGTGCGGGTTTTGTACAATTTAGATATTCGACGCACGATTCTCATCAGACATCTATCCCTATTTAGTTGTTAGGTATTAAATTTGACCATGGTAACTACATTTATTTACGAAAATGCCATTAATGATTGAATGCTCTATAATTAGATTTGACTGGATCATGACCGTCCATATTTTGGAATCAATGGTGTGGATCTATTCTTATTTCTTTCACTATCTACCATTCTCATATGATCCCAACTCTATATATATATATATAGAAGGGATCATATGAGAAAGAATGACAGTGAATGAAATGAGAATAAATCTGGATCCTTCAATACAACATATCAATGGTTAAAATTAAGTCAATCATTAATGGCAACATGGTAATTTAACATACACATTGTGGTCAAATGTACATATTTGACCACTTATAAGGGTATAACGGACAAAACACAAATTCTTACAACTCATCCAACCAGTGGGCCCCACCACTCCAC